GGGAAAAAAGCATCTTGGAAACAAATTCCAATAAATCCTGCTGTTCAGAGTGGAATCACATGACTACCTCACAGGTTCACCACCTCCAGCTCCCTAAGCTCCTTCCCCCATCGCGTGGGATGCACATCCCTGTTCTCCAAAGCCTTCCAGGGGCTGAATTTGGGCACAACAAGAGCCACTTCCAAGACCAGCTGTGAGCGTTGTAAATAAATCAGGATCAAATAATGGGTCTGCTGTGTCCAGCAGAATATTGATTTTTTCCACACCCTCCTCCTTCTCTCTCGTTTCTCCTTGGATAAATCCGCGTGACTCATGGATTGATGTGTGGGATGAAGGGACAGGCTGGACCATGGCATGGTCGGCTGGAATTTGGAGGCCACTCCTCTCTGCTGTTGCCAGAGCCACTGCTGGGTTCCTGCTTGGCCTTTTCCGTGGATAAACAGAGCCAACCCCATTGGTCTGTTTGACAGCAGAGGAGGGCAGGAAGGATTTGGGGTCCGTGGTGTGCTGCTGGCTTTGGGATGGACGATGGTCCAGCTCTGAGGTGGCTCTGCCCTGTGGCTCCTCAGCCAGGAGCCTCCCGTGCCACCAGGGAGGGTGGGAATGCAGGGGCGAAAGGCCATGGAATTGCTGGATGGCTTTCCCAACAGTGGGAACAGTTTTCCAGCCCTCAGCACCAACCTCCACACTCCAAGATGGTTTTTTGGGGCATCTCTTGTGGTTGGACCTCCCCAGGGCAGGAGCCAAACCCCAAGGCACAGGGTCCTCACGTGTGTCACCATCAGCCCCCACACGGACTTCTCAGAGGGGTCTTTTCACCCCCCTTTGCCTTTGGAGAAGGAAACCTCCTCTTCCCATCCCTAATTCCCCTCCTTCCCCACCCCGTGATGCCGATGGAGCCCAATGCCAGTTTGCTAAACCAGTACAAAGCCAAACCCACCAACAGGCAGCTTGAAATCCGAGGGGAATTGGACATAATTTTCCTGCTTATCTTGGGAATCTTTTTCCCTACAGCCTCTGCTTGTCCTCCCCTGGACTCTGTGTGTGTAAATATATAAATATATAAATATTTGTTTTCATCTGATGAGGGGCAGAAGTGTTTTAGCACCCACCCACTGCTCTGTATGCAAACTCCTGATATGCAAATGATTCTCTATGCAACAATTTTTTGTTTTTAAAAATGAAAACCACAGCAAATCCTCAGCTTTACTTCCCTTATTTTTCTATGGACAGAGTGGACAGCTCTGGGTTTGTATTAGTGGCCAAGGGCAGCTGTTTTTGGGGAGAAATCTGGGGAAAGGGGAGTGGTGCTGCTGGAGCCACGTGACAGTTGTGACAAATGAAGGTCCCTCCATCCCCGTTCCCCAGGGACATTTTGGAAAAGCTTTGCAAGGAGTGGATCAAATGCTGGAATGTGAGTGCCTCATCTCTGTTTGATAACAGGGAGAAAATTGCTGTAAATAGGCCAAAAGTGCTGTGTGACTTCATGGGTTCTTCCAGGTGATCCTTTATTATCCCAGATGAACACAATGGGGAAGAAACTGGGACCTGGAAAACGTGTGTGGGGGGGGAAGAGTTCTTTTCCTGGGATGCTGTGTTGGTTACAGAACCCTCTCCCCCACTAAACTCCCCCAGGAATATTGATCCACCCTGTATTTTGTAATAAAATTTTATCACCTGCAGACCTAGTCTGGCTTCTGGTCCTTCCTGCTCCAAGAGCTTTACTTGCCTTCACCCCCTGCCTTTCCTGGTGTAAGGAAAGGGGGAAATAAAGCTTTTTATTGGGGAAATGGGTGTCCAGGCAGAGAAGGATCCATGGATGGTGTGAGCCTGGAGTTGTCCCAGTGCCATGTGAAGGGACAGGGGGGACACAACCCTTGCTTTTGATCCCCTCACCTTCAGGTGCTCCCATTCTTTATCCTGAGAAGGGAAATGGGGCATCCACAGATCCTGGAAGGAGCCGGAGCAGAGCCAGGACAGGGAGAGGGACAAGACACCTGAACATTCCGTGACCCCCTCCTGTCCCTGGGGACACTGCTGTGCCCTGGGCTGTGCCACCAGGCTGCTCCTGCTGGAGTCACCAGGACAGTGAATCTCGGGGATGTCAGGGAGGTTTAGGGGGTGCCTGATTGCTTGAGAACCTGAAGTGTCCTCCCAAAGTGGGGAAAACCCCACGGGAGAGGTGTCAGACCTGGCTGGGGTCCCTTTGGGCCAGCTCCTCCCTGGAACCTCCTCCTTGAGCAGAGGCAAATTGGGACGGGGCTCAGAGCAGAGATGGAAGTTCAGGCTCACCCCTCGGTGGGGTCTCAGCAGAAGAGGATCCCAAAAAAACCCTCCCCCCTTTTCCCAACCCCGGGCCCCCCCCCCCCTGCAGTGTCCCCCTGTCACCGTGCCCTTCCCAGCCTTGTTTGTGCCGCTGCTGAAGCAAGGGCTGTAAAAGCTGGGCCGATGCACAGACTGTTCCTGCCGGGCTGTTAAAGCTCCAGGAATGCCAAGATCCCTCTGCTCAAGGACGGGAAGGGAAGCAGGAGGGAAGAGGGAGTGCTGAAATCCTGGGGGAGGCCACACGGTCTCACAGGGCACGGCCAGGAGGTGACAGCACCAACGGGAGCCTCCCCTCGGCTTTCCTCTTGGGATTCAGAAGGAAGCGATGCTGATGCCACCACACCGCGTCCAGGACCTGGAAAACACATGGAGGGAGGGTGGGGATGGGAAACTCCCTGGGGGAGGCTCTGTCCTTCCTCTGCTCCCCGAGTGATTCCAGAGGGAGCGGCTGGAAGGTCCCACAGGACACTGAAGGTCCTGCTCAGTGCCACCCTGTGCCCAAGTCTGCTGGCATGTGGGGGGAGAAAACCCAGCCCAGCTTCCCTGGAGATCTGCAGGGCCCTGGAGATGCCCCTCCAGCCCGGCAGTGACTTTGAGGGTGGCTTTAATTTTGAACTTTGCTGTCCCGACATCTCCCAGGCAGATGCGGGCTGTTCTGTTTGATGTGCCCGGGCTGTAAAGTTATCCATTGACTCGGGAAAACACAATTGCAGCGGGAAGGAGCGGCCGGGCGGGTTCTGCGGGTGTCCCCGGAGCTCGGCAGAGGATTGTGGCATCGCCACACACGCGTGGCTGCCGGTGGCTGCGGCAAAGCCACCCCCGGGCTGCGACCTGCGGGCACAAATCCCGGCTCCCAGCAGCCGGGAAAACACCGGGGAGAGTTCCAGCTCTCAGGGTGAATTTTGGGGAAGGAGGCACAGAATGTTCCCGTGACAGCGGCCACGAGCGCTGCCCTTCAAACCCTGCCCTTATCTCCCGTATCCCG